TCCTGAGGTCGGCTCCAGGGCTTTGAGCCCCGAAGGCTTGAGCGGGAGAGAGGGAAAGGGAAGGGCAAGCAGAGGCAGGGGCAGGGAGAGAAGAAACCCAAGCCGACTGGGGAGGGCGGGGTCCAACCGTTTAGGACAAACAACTAAACTGAGCCTCTTGGGGCCGCTGGGGGGCCTCTTCAGCGTCGCTTGGGGGCCTCCTGAGGGCCTCTTGGGGGCTTTTGGGGCTTCTCAGGGGCCTCTTGAGGCCTCCTGGGGGCTTAAGGCCGAGGGCTCGAAGTTTTGTTTTGTGTTCCCCCTTTGGGGCATCGCTTGGGGCCCTCTTGGGCCCCTCTTGGGCCGTCTTGGATGCCTCTGGGGCCGTCTTGGAGCCCTCTTGGGCCATCTTGGGGTCTTCTTGGGAGCTTCTTGGGCCCTCTTGGGGCAATCTTGGGGGCCTCTTGGGCCGTCTTGGGGCGTCGGGAAGCCGAAAAGATGGACACGCCAAAATCTGCCCAAAACCTAAGGACAAGTAATGAATTTTGCCTCTTGGGGCCCTCTGGGGAGTGCTCTTGGAGGCCTCTTGGGGCGTCTGGGGGCCATCTTGGGCGTCTTGGAACGATCGTGTGGCATCTCGGAGCACTCTTGAACCATCTTGGAGGGCTCTTGGCGGCCTCGTGGCCCTTGGGGCTCTCTGGAGGGCCACAGGGGCGGCGCCCAGGAGGGAAACCATCTCTGACCCGAGTCTGCCGGGGATCGCCTGGGGTACTTCGTCCGGGGACCCCCAGGGGCCGCCCCGCGCGCGCGAAGTAGAAGTATTATTTAGCAGTTGCCGGAGATCTTAGCACGCCTCTGGCCCGTTGGGCCGGCGAATTTCCCGTTTGTGTCCTGTGCCATTCGAGTCTTAAGAGTCTGAGGCCCGCGACAGTATAGCCCTCCTCAGCGGCGAAGGCGCCAGGGTCCTCGATTATCCTTTTTCCAATGGGCGCGGGCTGATGGGCTGGGTAGGATTCAAATCCTTTTTATCCCTCCTCGTCATCTTCCCCTCTTCCCTTCCCTATCCTCCTCTTCCCTGTCCTCTTTCTCCGTGTTCTCCTTCTCCTTCTCATCCCTCGTTCTTCTCCACCTCTATTTATCCTCCTTCCCCTCCTCCTCCCTCTCCTCCTCCTCCTCCTTCCTTCTCGTCCTTCTCTGTATCCTTCCCCCCATCTTCTCCTTCGTTTCCCTCCTCTACCTGCCTCTTCCTTCCTCCTTTGGAGGGGCATGAGGTGGGGAGATCAGAGGGAACCAGGAAGAGGAATGATTGGAAGGAGGGAAAGAAGGAAGAGGAGGAGGAGGAGGAGGAGGAGGAGGAGGAGGGGGAGGAGGACGAGGAGGAGGAAGAGGAGGAGGAGGAGGAGAGGGAAGAGGAGGAGCAAGGAGGAGGAGGAGGAGGTGGAGGAGAGGAGGAGGAGGAGGAGGAGGAAGAGGAGGCAGGAGGCAGGAGGCAGGAGGCAGGAGAATGAGGAGCAGGAGGAGGAGGAGGAGGAGGAAGAGCAGAAACAGTGGAAGAATGCGGATGAGGCCTGGGGGGAAGCTCTCCCTCTTCCCTGCCTCCCTCGTTATTCCTCCCTTCTTCTTTGTCATCCCACCTGCTCATGCCACTGTTTCCCGCTTCGTTACTTACCATTACCTCGGAGAAGACGGCCGCCCCCATGTTTCCTGTTAGGGCTCTGCGTCGAAGAATGTTGCCACATAATGGCTTACTGCCCCTTGCTTCAGTATGTTGCTTGTAGATGGTGTGTTGACTCGGATCCCGCCAGGGTGCAATGTCCATTGTGCGGGGGTGGTCCACGGTGGTGGCTGCATTCCACATGTTTTTGTTCCTATCATTGTAGTCTAACCTCTGGTTTCGTGGAGCGTGCGAATTCTTCCTCCAAGCAAGACAGAGGCCTTCGGGACGTGTGCACTTGTAAACCCATCAAGACTCAGCGTGAGCATTCGCAGATCATCGGTGATGGGTTCTAGCCAAAAGTCTTGTCGTTGTCGGAGCAACAAGCCAGGGTCCACGCTCCTCGTTAATGATGTTTTCATTTCGCGCCATTGACCATTCCCGTCACATTCCTTCCCGTATTCCTAGCTCCTGCTCCTCTCTTCTTCTCCCCTCCGCCCCCTTGTTCGCCCCCCTCTCTCTCCCCATTCACCCTCCCTTTGTCTCCTCGACCTGGCCGTGCCTCTCCTCCTCTTCGCTCCGTCCTTTCTTCTTCTTCTTCTTCTTATTCTTCTTCCTTTCCCATCCCCCGTATCTCGCCTTATCGCCTTTCTCTTCCTCATCGTTGTGGTTGTCGTTGCCTTACTCCTCCTCTTCCCGCCTCCTCCTCCTCTTCCTCCTCCTCCTGCCCCTCTCCCTCCCTTCCCCCTGCTCCACCTCATCCTCCCTCTCGGATTCCTCCTCCTCTTCTGGTCCTCCCGCTGCCGCCTTTTCCCCTCTCTGCCTCCTGTCCTCGCCCGACTCGTCGAAGGGCGCCATCGAAGCTCCGTGCCGACCCTGGCCACTGACCAGGCCCACCCCGGATCGGTGTTCACGTTCACTCTTGGCCGAGCCAGGAGTGCATCTGCACCGATGCTGGGCCCTGGGCCAGGCCCGGCCCAGGGCTGGTGCAGGCGCACATCTGGCGCCCCACTTGCAGTGGCCCACCTCGCTCCGAGCGAGCAGATTCGATCCCGGCCCGACCGAGCCGATTCGATTCCGGTAGCTCGACGGCGCAGCGTGGTCCGATGCCTGAGTGGTGCTGTTGTGCATCCTGGCGCGGCCGGCAACTCCGTGCCGCTGCGGCCCGATTCGGTGTGCAGTCCGACCCGGTGCGGCCTGCCGTGCCGATGCTGACCGATCCTGCCTTGGCCAGGACGCTCTCGTCGGCCTCGGCTCCGGGGGGCCCTCGGGCGTTCGCGTCGGTGCTTGCTGCAGGCTCTCTTGCCGTGGGGTGCCCTCTCGCCACCTGCGCCTCTTCGACAGCGTTCCAGGGGTGCCCCCGGATCGCCCCGATTGGCCGCCGAAGGCCTGAGTCATGGCCCGAAAGTCAGACAGCCCCGAAAATCAGGACGGAAGCTTTCTGTAATTTTCGGCTTCCGCGGGCCCTTGCCAGCCCCTGCGTTCCAGGGGTGCCCCCGGATCGTCCCGAGGCCTGAGTCATGGCCCGAAAGTCAGGCAGCCCCGAAAAAATCAGGGCGGAAGCTTGCTGTGATTCTCGGCTCCCGCGGGCCCTTGCCAGCCCCCGGGGCCGCCCAGAATGGCCCATGACGAAAAGCCAGGCCCGCGGGAAGTCAGGGTCCGAGGCATGACGTCCAGCCCTGAGCTTTTTCGGCTTCCGTGTGGACTTTTTTAACGTTGTGTAAGTCGTGGCATTTCGGTGTCCAGTGCATTTGCAAAGCGAAGTACGCTCATTTGTTTCCGCACGTCGCACAACAAAGCGTGTCGCGTTCTCCCCAGCCTTTCTTGGAACGTTCGGAGTACCTGGGCGCTCCATGTGGAGCAGCGCACGTCGGACATCCAGCGTCCGCGTTGCCTTCGAGTGTATCCTTCCGCGGTCGGGGAAAATTCGGAGGTGGGTACATAGTCAGACCTTACTTCGTGGCGTAAATTTACCCCACCCCCGTGGCGCCACAAAAACCATATCGCGTTGGCCCGCATTTTTGGGGCGCGATTCCAGGCGGGCCCGTGGACACCCCAACAAGTTGCGGGGGGGGCCTGCGAGGGAGGGCAGGGCAGAGGGAGGGGCAGTGGAGGGCGGGAGAAGCGTACAGGGTCGTCGTCGGGCCTCTCCCAGGGCTCATTACAATGAGCCCCCTGGGCGCCCAGAGCTGATGTCAACTTCGGGCTTCGAAACACGAGGACCCAGTATTTTTCAGTTTCTGTGGCCCAGTGGGGGTGGGGTAGAACTAGCGGACCCTCAGAAGGGACCTTTGGAGAGCCAACTTGTACAACATTACGTCGTCGGATGTCTGGGTATCTCGCTCTCCTCTCGCGCCCTGCTTTCCCTCACTCGATACAGTTAGGGCGCATTGTCAGGGTGAGCCACTTTCCAAGGGCTTCCCTGGCATCCTTCCCCTTCGGCCAGTCCTGGGCCTCTTTCGCTGGCCGCGCCCCGCTCGAACAGTGCCGACATGGCCTTCCAGGGCCCTTGCGTCCCGGCAAGCACATGGGCCAGAAACGCGCTTTGCACCTCGCAGAGCCATTTCCACCACGCCGTGATGCTTTCGGCCCGGCGCAACCAGTTGACACGGTTGTGTTCGTGGGAAGGTGTGGGTCGTGTGGGTAGGGGGTGCGCCACAATTTTCGTTTACATTCAGCGGGTTCGTAGGCTGCCACGTGCGAACGGGCCCCTACCCTCCGCGAAGTGGACCCCACCCTCCCCCTCAGAAACTGTGGGGGTACTCCAAATCCCTTATCAATCGTCCCCCGGGTCCGGTTTTTTAAGGCGCCTTTTTGTAACTGGTGGGGTCCAGTTTATTAGGGCGCTTTCTTTGGATTGGCGCTTAGCGGTTCCAGTTTATCAAGGCGCCCCGTCGAAGAAGGGGGTCCGGAATATCAGGCCGCATTTGGAGGGGGGTCCGGTCTTTTAGGGGGGGTCGATTCATAAGGGATTTGGAGTAGGGGTGGGGTTCGCATGTGGCACCTTGTTTCCTCCCTCGCCGCACGCCGGCCTCGCCTTCGGAGCACCCTGCGCGCCTCCCTGCCGCGCCTCCTCCTCCTCCATCTCCTCCTGCTCCCTCCTCCTCCTCCTCCTCCTCCTCCTTCTCCTCTTCCTCCATGTCCTCCCTCCTCCTCCTTCTCCTCCTCCTCCTCCACCACCACCACCACCTCCTCCCGCTCCCCCTCTTCCTCCTCCTCCTCCTCCTCCTCCTCCTCCTCCTCCTCCTCCATCTCCACCTCCTCCACCTCCCGCTTCGGGAGCACCCTGCGCGCCTCTCTGCCGCGCTCCTTTGACGGCCTGCTTTGCTCCTTCCCCCCCCCTTGGGCCTCCTCGGCCCGGGCAGCCCAGGAGCACGCACGCCGCGCGGGAGCACGCGGTCTTCTCCGTGGCCCTGTCCAGACAGGACCGCGGGTGGAGGGTTTCCCCGAAGGGCTTAGGCGACCCGTCCTCCTTCTCCTCCTCCTCCTCCTCCTCATCCTCCTCCTCTATCTCCTCCTCCTCCTCCTCCTCCTCCTCCTCCTCCTCCTCAACCTCCACCTCCACCTCCACCTCCTCCTCCTCCACCTCCACCTCCACCTCCACCTCCTCCTCCACCTCCTCCTCGCGTGGCCTACGGCCCCGGGGGAAACCGTGCAACCGCGGGGGCGGAGCCGGGACGAGTCGCAGCCCTCCCAAGCTTCCCGAACAGCATCGACGGCGACGGGGAGAGATCGAGGGTTGAGGGTCGAGGGTCGAGGGAAGATTGAGGATCGAAGATCGAGGCTCGAGGGTCGAGGATGGGGGCTGTGTCAAGAAGGACCGGGCTCCCGACCCGCCTCGCACGCCCTGCATACCGCGGCCACCAGGCCCAAAGTGTGCCGCTGCTCCCTGGTCAATTATCCCGCCTCGTGCTTTCGACGAGTGACATGCCGCGGCCGCCAGGCCATAGTCTGAAGTCGGGCCTGTCCCTCTACAGGAGGAGCATTTTCCCAAATAGCCAGAAGATAGTACGGGGACGATGTTCCGCCTTTTTTGGCGACCACTTTTCGTCCAAAGTCCGCCTGCGGGGGGGGGCATTCCCGACCTAACCATAGTGCGCCCAGCGCCCAGGCGCCCACGAGCGGGCACGGGCGCCAGTGCGGCGAGCCCTCGGGGGGCCCGCCCAGCGGACGGGGCGCCCGCGAGGCGCCTGCGGGCGGGCACGGTCACCGGACCAGGACAACCATCTGGCCAAGGAAGCCAAGCAGGAATCCAACTAGGGAAGGCAACCGAGGAAGCCACACAAGAGTCGTGCAGCCAGCTGAGAGGGAAGCCAACTGGGGAGGCCAGGCAAGAGTCCAACGGGACAACCATCCAGCCGAGGAAGCCGAGCGAGCATCGTGCAGCCACTGCGTGGGGAATGGGCACGCGCTCTGAGGATCGTCGACGTGCCCTCGCCTCGACCTCGGCTCTCGGGAGTCTTCGGACGCCGCTGCCGGTTCTCGCTTTTGCTTGCCTGGCGTGTCGCCCAGCTGTTCAAGGCGCGTGTTCGGCGTCCTCCAGGCGTTGGGCCAGCGCGTCCTGCTGGACGCACGGCTCCCTGGCTGACTGCCGTCGGCTCCTGGAGGTCTCCCCTCGCCTCGGGGGGCGCCCTCCCGCCGCTGCGCCTCGCCGAGGGCGCTCCGCCGGGGGGGACCGCGCTCGCCTCGATCGGCCGCTGGAGGCCCGAGCCGCGGCCCGAGAGCTTGGGGATTGAGCCCGCGGAGCGGGCGACGCGGCAGGCCCCCCAGAGATGGGCAAGTTTTCCACCACCACCACCACAAGTTGGAGGGGAAGGGGGACCTCCTCCTCCTCGTCCTCGTCCTCCTCCTCCTCCTCCTCCTCCTCCTCCTCCTCCTCCTCCTCCTCCTCCTCCTCCCCCTCTCCCCCTTTTATCCTCCTCCTCCTTCCCCCCTCCAACTTGTGGTGGTGGTAGTGGACGACAGGCCCATCACCCAGGTCGGTATCGTTTGACCGACCCCCGTCTCCATCCCCATCCCCTTCGAAACCCCCTACGAAATTACCACCCCAGTTGGGGATACACCCCTCGAAGCCCGAAGGGAGCGACCCATTACCCCATCTGGGAGGGTAAGTCGGCCAGTGGGCCCCAGGCCACGCCGCTGGGGATGGGGATCGGTTGAACGATACTCACCAGAGGGAATTTTGCATGCCGATTTTGCAATCAGTAGGGGCTGGGGATACTGCCTCGACGAGGGTCGGTACCAATCGATGGGGCCGTGCTTGCGTTCCGTGGAGGGTGAAGGTTCAAAGCACCATCCGAGGCAGACTGTCGAGGACGTCTCGAGCGAAGCGGTCACTATTGAGACTCGGAGTCCCCTTCCGAGGCTGATTCGTCGAGGATATCCCTAGCGAAACTGTCATTCTTAGAATGCAGAGTCCTCTCCGAAGCCGAGTTGTTGAGGACGTCCCGAGCGAAACGGTAGTTTTTAAAATTCGGAGTCCTTTCCGACGCCGATTTGTCGAGGATGTCCTGAGCAACACTGACATTTGAGGCCATCGGAACACGTCGCATATGTATTTTTACGTTTCCCAGCAGCTCTCATGCACGCGGGCCTAACCTTGGGAGCGCATTTCACTTGTATGGTCACGTGCCCCAGGATAATTAATGAACATTTGCCTCATCGAAACATCTTCGAAGCATCTTCAAAACATCTTCGAATCATCATCGGCCAGCGGATTGGGCGAACACCCTCTCTGGAGCATGCCTTATGCATGCGTTCCCTCTTCTCCATCTTCCTCCATCTCATCATCTACCCCCGAAGGCTAACACGGAGGGGGTCCGCAGGGGGCCCGCCGAATTTGATAGAAGGCCCCCGACGGGGTAGACACCGCCGCCCCACCATTTTTGGGGCGGGGGCCAAGACATCGCCATGGAGTTCCACGGCCCCGAGAGCGAGAGAGATAGAGAGAGTGAGAGCCAACAATAAAGAACGATAGAGAGAGAGAGAGATAGAAAGAGAGAGAGAGAGAGAGAGATAGGGCAAGAGAGGGAGGGATGTCACTCCCGAGCAGAAAACTTGAGCCCTCGCGGGGCTCAGTTGGTGCGTCTCGGGGCCCTCGGGCCTTCTTGGGGATCTTAGGCCCTTCGTCAGAGTTCTAGAGGGCTTCTTGGGGCGATGTCGCAGAGTTGTTACAGGAGGGGGGTTAACGATGGAAATGGGAGAGGAAACATGCAGTCCCAAGAAGTTTTGAGCTCCTGGAGAGGGCCCCGGGGTCTCTCTGGGGGCGCCCCAGATGGCCGAAACATGCGGCAAGAAGGCGCACAGACGGCCGAAGAGTGCCCCGAGAGGCTGTGAGAACGGCTGCAGAGAGCATCCGCTTGTTTAAAGATAGCCGCAAGAGCCTGCGGAGGTGCACGGGGGCTCGAAGAGAGGCCATAATTGTGAGAATCCCCATGTGTGTTTACTCTGTTTTTGCTTGTTTCGGTTTTCTGGAGCATGTGACTCGAACATAGGTGGAGCGGCATCGGGGACAGCCCCATGTGCCCGAAGGACGGCCAAGATCAGCCCAGCAAAGGCCCCGAGAGGCCCCCCAAAACTCGAAGTCTAACACGGCGAGGGCCCGCCGCCAGTGAGGGGGCAGACACCGCCGCCCCCTTTTTTCGTTGGAGCCCACAGTTTCCTTTCGGGGGGGTCCAGTACGGCCCCCTGATCATCTGGCGTCCTTGCCCAAGCTTCGCGTTTGAACCCCCCCTCCCCCTGGCTTTTGGCCGGGGCGGCGGGGCTGGACAGGTGGCAGTACTCTCGACGCTTAGGTCGCCAACGCAAGAGCCCAAGAAGATCCCCAGAGGGCCACTAGAAGCCCGAACGCGGGCGAAAAGCGGCTGCTGTCGACTTTGGACAACGCTTGCCCCGGTGGGTACCGTGCCCAGGCTTTCCGTGCCCACTTCGGCGTGCCAGATGGCGCTCCCGGGCCTGCGGATCGAGCTCGGCCCGCGAGTGCGCTGCCCGGGTCCCGTTCGTATAAACTTGGGCTCGCGCTTCCCTCCCTCCAGGAGCCCGTTTCTATATTGCTTGGAGATTGTTTTTTTATCCTCTGGGGGGTAACGCTCGTTACCCGGGCCTCTCCCCCCCCCCCCCCCCCGTAACGGTAACGCTCGTACGCGGGGGGGGTCTCGGTCTTCCCCTCCAACATGCTGGTGCCCGAAGGCATGCGCACTGTGGTGTGGTGGTCGCAGGCGCACTGTGGGCGCTCGCAGGCCATTGCGGCGCTCGCATGCGCGATGCTGGTGCTTGCGGGCTTTGCGCTTGTACTCGAATCGTCGTCGTCGTCGTCGTCGTCGTCGTCGTCGTCGTCTTCGTCGTCGTCGTCGTCGTCGTCGTCGACGGCGCCCGAAAACGGCCTCCGGAGGCCGAAACATGCGGCAAACGTCGTCGTCGTCGTCGTCGACCTCGTCGCTCGTCGCTCGTCGATCATCGTCGTCGCGCGCGCGGGCGCGGGCGTGGTGCCGGGACCACGCTGCGGGCTTTGCGCTTGTACTCGAATCGCAAGCCACTGTGGTGCTCTCAGGCAGAAAAAGACAGTGCTTGCTACGCAATACATGCAAATACTACATGGCGATCGTGCACTGAGGCGCACCTGCTTCGCCATACCCCGCCCATACCCAAAGCGTTAACCGTTACCCGGGGGGCACGACCCCCCCCCCCCATAACACGGGTACAAACGAGCGTTACCACAAGGACCGAATAAAAAATGAATCTCTTGGGGCAATGTCGTATAGCGTCATGGCCGCACCCAGCCTCCCCTGCGCACCATGACACGTAACATGAACGTACGCTCAAACTCCCTCCCCGTGGCGCTAGAGGCAACTGCCAAACTGCACAGTTTGCGGAGGTTCATTGGGATCCGCGATAGGTGATACACGCTTAAGGAATCCGCAATAGAGAGATACAGTGGTCACGCAGTCGTCGGTCGCGTCACTATCGTCAGTCGTCGTCGTCGTCGTCGTCGTCGTCGTCGTCGTCGTCGTCGTCGTCGTCGCTCGTGGCTCGTGGCTTGTCGCGTCGCTCATAGTCGTCGTGCGCGCGGTCGCGGCTGAAGCCTGTTTTTATTCCGGGCCGATGACGGCAATCATCTAGGGGGGGGTGGAGGGGGTCGATGACGTCACGTTTCGCGCCGGCGGCGTCTGGGAATGCGTTAGGAAGGACGGAGGACGGGAAGCGCCAGCATGTATGTGGCGATTTGCACCACAATGCCTGTGTACACCACAGTGCCAGCGTGCACCACAGCGCTTGCGTACACCACACCGCCTATGTACACCACAGCAGCCGCGTGCAACACAGCGTCAGTTTGTGCCACCGTGCCTGCGGGCACAACAGCTCTTGTGCACACCACAGCGCTTGCGTACACCACATTAGCCGTGTGCAGCACAGCACCAGTGTGCTGCTTCTGTGCGTTGCAGTGCCTTTGTGCACTGCGCACCACGGCGCCTGTGTGCACCGTGCACCACAGCAACCGTGTGCAACACAACACCACCGTTGCTTATATAATGTTAGAACAAACCTTGATGACAAAGTGGAACGCTTGTGGATTCCACAAAAAGCAATATAACATAATCTTTATGGACAACGGAGCGCCGCTGGAATCTACGAGTCCTCCCGAGTCCGCCCGCATCACCCTACCTCCTGCCGTCTGCGTCCAGGAGGATCCAGCTAAATTGGCCGTCCGAAAACCAAGTCGACTGATTCAATAAACCATTCTGCGGTGCGCGCTGAGATGCGCACGTGCGCTGTAGCGCCAACCCGCACGACAGGGGGTAAGGAGGAGAGGAAGAAGGAGGAGGAGGAGGAGGAGGAGGAGGAGGAGGAGGAGGAGGAGGAGGAGGAGGGGGAGGGGGAGGGGGAGGAGGGGGAGGGACTAGTGGTATGAGGAAGGGGGAGGTGAGCTAAAAAAATAGAGGAGGACTGTAGGAAAAAAGGAAAAAAAAAAAAATATAGAACGGATTGGATGACCTCATAGGAGGAGGAGGAGGAGGAGGAGGAGGAAGAGGTGGAGGTGGAGAGAGGAGGGAAGAACGTCGCATTCGATTATTCGCATTTTCGTGGCGTGGCGTCTAATTGTCCGCAGCAGATCCTCACGTACATGCTCCTTCTACCTGTCCTATGCACGCAGGCATTGTTGTGTACACCCACGCTGCATTGCACGCGGATGCTGTGGTGTAGACGCGCGCTGTGGCGTGCACAGGCGTTGCGGTGTACGCAAACATTGTGGTGTACACAGGCGCTGTGTTGCACATGGTAGCTGCGGTGTACACATGTACACTCGCGCTGTAGTGTACGCAAGCATTGTGTTGTGGTGTGCACAGGCGCTGCGTTGCACACGGTTGTTGCGGTGTACGCAAGCGCTGTGGTATACACGCGCGCTGTGGTGCACGCGAGCGTTGTGGTGTACACAGGCGCAGTGGGGCATATCGCCACCTTCGTGCTGCGCGAGTCGTCGTCGTCGTCGTCGTCGTCGTGGTCGTCGTCGTGGTCGTCGTCGTCGTCGTCGTCGTCGTCGTCGTCGTCGTCGTCGTCGTCGTCGTCGTCGCTCGTCGCTCGTCGCTCGTCGCTCGTCGCGTCGCGCGCGCGGGCGCGGCTGCGGTGCCGGAGCCACACGGTGGGGGAGGGCGTTACGTCATACCCCCCCCTCGCCCCCTCCCCCCCCCCATGACGCCCGTCATCGCCGAACATAAATAATCGCGTTCTAGATGCGCGTTGTAAAATGTTGGTGACCTTCCTGCGGCGTTCCTGACGGCAGCTGCATTTCGACTCTGGTCCGATTCGAGTTCGACTCTAGTTCGACGTAAGTCCGACTCAAGTGCGATTCAAGTCGACGGACGGTCGACGTAGCATCGGGGCGTGATTGGAGCGATTAGTTCCAGGAAGGTCCCCAGAACGAGCATGTAACTCCTTCCCCCTCCTCCCTCCCCCCCCCTCCAGCTTTCCCCCTCCTCTCGCCCGCAGCTGGTGCTGCCCGCCTATGCCTGGGAGGCCTCTGGTTTCGAAGCTACGTGACGTAGGCCGCGCAGGGGGCAATGGCCTTCAATGCTCGAATATAACTCGGCCCCAGAGCACCTGAGCAGCCTTGACAGGCACCCGCTCCGGATGGGTCCGTCCGTCCGCCCCTCCCCCCTCCGCCCTCGTCCCTCCTCCCTCCCCCTTCCCCTCGATCCTGCTGGGGGAGGCCGGCGACATACTGGGCGTGGACCTCGATTTCACGGACGGGTTCTCCGCTAGGCACCTGGGCCCGCGGCCCTCCTTATGAGGAGGGGGAGGGAGGGAGCGAGGGAGGGACGGGCGGCGGCGGAGGAGGCGGAGGAGGAGGAGGAGGAGGAGGAGGAGGCAAATAATTTGGATGAGGATAAGAGAAGGAAGATGAGGGGGAGGAGGAGGACCAGTGCAATCCCAAGCCCTTCATAGACCCCTAGGAGGATTCATTTCCACTGTGGGAAGTGTCCCGTTGGGGGACAACCGTATGAAAATCTTGAAGCGTGCCAAAACACCATTCTCAGGAATGCAACGCCACGAGTCAACCTGACTTTTGCGCTTGACGATCCTGAAGTGTTCCAGAACACCATTCCTGGGACGTCACCGCGAATCAGCGTAACTGTCGCGCCCTGACAATCCAGAATTGTTCCCAAGCGCCATTCCTGGACGCTGACCATGAGAAGCAATGAAGCCCTTGCAGAATTTTAAGAAGAGTTACGCGGCGCTAAGGCGATAGCCACATATTGAAAGGAACTACCCTCAATCCGTGAAGCTCTTACAACTTCTTCACGTTTCGCGTATCCTCACCAGCCCATCCAGAAACGATTGCCAGGAGAGTTGGGTTTATCAGGGAAGTGTAGGGGCAAGAAAAAGGGGGTAGCTGTTATCTGTCGAACGAGGAGAATGGAAGAGTAAAGGGAGGAGGCGGAAGAGGAGGATGATGATGAGGAGCAGGATATTGAAGGAGAAGGAATCGGCAGGTGAGAAGCAGGAGGATGAGGAGGGCGAGCAGAAGGCCAGAGGCCTCTTGGATGCTCTGGGGCTTCCTTGGAGGCCTCTTAGGCTGTCTTGAATGCCTCTTGGCGGTTTCGGGGGCCCCTTGGGGCGTCTTGGGCGCCATTGAGGGGTACCTCTTGAGGCCTTTGGGGCCGTTTAGGCACCTCTTGGGGGCCTCTTGGGGGCCTAGTGAGGCTCTCTTGGGAGCCCTGGAGGCCCTCTTGAGGTCATTTTTTAAGGACATCCATCAAAGAAGGGTGTCCTTACTTACCGGCGCCCCTCTAAGGCCTCTAAATCGCCCCTTGGGGCCCTCTTGGAACGCTCTTGGAACGCCTCTCGGGCGCTCTTCAGGCCGTCTTGGGGCCGTGCCCTATTGGGCCATCTTGGAGCCATCTTGAGGCTTCGGAAGACAATTGGAAGCGGAAAGGCGCGAAAGCAAACAATGAAAGATTTTGGCCTCCTGGGGGCTATCTTATTCCGATATATTCCGCATGCGTTTTGAGCACGGTATTGTATTCTCTGGATTCAGTATGATTTCTCAAAGCCGAGAGAGCGCGATTAGACGCCTTTCACTGCAAATGCATCCTGAAGATATTGAGTATTCCGCCATCGTTTATTTTCAGGGTCAACACCGCCGTGCTGGACGTGACCGGAGCGAAGCCACTTTCTGACATATTAGCTGACATACAGGTGACGCTGCACACCATGATCGAAAGTGGAACTGGATCTTGCTTGGTGAGAATAATATTATGCAGCGCTGACTGGTCTCCCAGACCATGGGCCTCCCGGAGGAAGCGTGGGCGTCCGCGGCAGCTATGGGCCGCCTTGGTGTATGAGCCTTTGTAACTGTAGACTGTATCCCCTCATTCTCCTGCTCCTGCTCCTGCCGCCCTTCCTCCTTCCCCTCCTGCCTCGCCGCCCATCGTGTGCTTCGCAGTTGGCTGCCCCATCTTCTGCTTTACAGTCGGGCGCTCCTGCTCCTGCTTCACAGTCGTGACGCGCGCCGTTTCCTGATTCACAGTCGTCAGGCGCTCCTCTTTTCCGATTCTCACTTTCGCAAGTCACGAAGGGTTGCCAATCGCGCGCTCGTCTGCCCACGCGTCCTTCCAGATGCCTGGCTCTGTGGTGGGGGCTCTCATAGGGGTGCTCCCAGGCCACCTGGAACCGTCTTGAGGCGGTCTTGGAGCCTCTGGGAACATGTCGGACGCCATCTTCAGCCATCTTGAGCCACCTTGCGCCGTCTTGGGGGCTATCTTGGTCTCTCTGAGGCCCCCGTGGAGCCATCACGGGCCATCATGGAGGCTCCAAGGCGTCGCGGGGCGCCCCGTCTGGGTCCAGGGGGAGGGGGTACGGGGGAGAGGTCGAGGCCCCCCCCTTCGCCCGCAAGCCGTCTGTCTCACTCCCACCCGCCCTCCCAACACATAGGTAACTATAAGTCGGGCCTGTCCCTCTACAGGAGGGATATTCAACAATAGTCAAACAATAGTCTGGGGACGATATTTTTTGTGCCTTTTTTGGCATCTTTTTTTGTGGGGGGTATTTTTTGTTTTCCGTCCAAGATCCCCCCCCCCTGTAGGGGACGGGCCCGGCTTAAACGTAGGTAACACCCGAGGGAGTCTCATTGTGTTGCGCAGGAGCGCCACGCACGCCATGTGCGCCACGGGTTCCAGGTGCACCGGGCACCCTGGAGGCCCAGGCGAGCCGGGCGCGCCAGGCGCGGCACGCGCTCCACGTCTAAGCCATCGGCCAGCACCCCCGCCGCCTTGTCAAAGAGCTACTGCAGAGCGGTCGCGAGGCAAAGTCGATTCTGTTTTGTTTTTTGGCAGGGATGTTTGGCCTATGCGCAGGGAGCAATATAACGGCACCCCCGCCGTCCCTGTCAATAACCAATGCAAAGTGGGCGCCCGCACACGTTTCACATGTGGAGGTATTTTGCATTGTTTGTTTTTTTGGGAACGGATGGCATGGTTGGTCTTCGCGCAGCGAGCAATGTGACGGCACCCCCCTCCGTGCCTGTCCGAAACAAATGCAAAAGGGTCGCGGGGCGCCCGCGCATGCTCCAGATGTGGAGTCACAGTTTTTGACACGGACGGTTGACCTGCGCGCAGCGAGCAATACGAAGGCACCCCCGCCGTCCTCGCCAACAATCAATTCAAAGTGGTCGCGGGGCGCCCGCGCATGCTCCAGATTTGCAGACGAAGTGCATTCGGTATTGTTTTTTCGCAGGGTTGGTGGGAGGTCGGGGAGGCATGTCTCGGGTTGGCCCACAGTCGCGTGGGGGAGAGGGGTATACTGTTAAGGAGCACTGATAACCCCTCCCCGAAGGGGAAGAAGGGAAGAAGGGAGGTTGGAAGAGGAAACTCCGTAAACCAGTCATGGCTAGATCCTAGAGGGCTGATGGCGTTTAAGAACGAATGTCGCCACCCGCCAAACCACCCCAACCCAACCCGAAGGTCTCGATTTGCCCTCCATTTCCAGTTGGGGGGGATCGGGGAACATCGAGAAAACACATATGGAACCCGTACCCCCCCCAACCCGAAATTCGGGTCTTCGGGTTGGGTTGGGGTGGTCTGGTAGGTAGTCAGAATGTGCGCGGCGCCAAGGCAACCACGTGTTGAACAGGAACTGCCTTCAATTGTTGCTCGTGGAACTGTTTGAAACAGATGTGCGTGGCGCTCAGGGGAGAGCCACATTTTGAAAAGGAACCCGCCTCAATCCGTGACGCTCTCGGAAAGTATAAAACGAGTGT